AGTATTGTCTTCTTTTTAATACTTGTTTTTTAATCTGCACTGTTATCATGTATATATTCTGTTTACTCAATTACGAATACATGTTATTACGCATTTATTACGTTTATTTAATTACGAACATATGAGCTACCTAATTTGATACCTGTATTGATTTTATTATATTCCTTTTAGCCATACCTTTTATACAGTCATTTTCATATGCCAAGCTTTCACTTCTCCCCACCCCCTTCTTTGTCCATATACCCATAATTACCTCACTATAAACGCAATTTTTGACAAAGCTTCCATGAACCAGCGATGTCATTTTTATCATATATATATATATATATATATATATATATATATATATTTTTTTTTTTTTTATTATTGTATTACCTTTATTCTGCTAAAGTTAAAAGTATATCATGCTTTCCAATATTGTTTTTATACATATCACTTTTTATAATTTGCAATTTGCACCTTTAAATTTGTTTTCAGCATTGCTTCAGGATGAGCCGTCCGCTCTGATTGACTCCCCATCCCCTGCTAATTACACTCAGCCAGCCTTCCCTTTAATGGTCTTCTATATAATGGCCGCCGGCCAGGGTTACCAGAGACTTGACAAAGCGCAACTGTGCGAAACATGTCGTCTTGGTAACCCTACATATGCTCCCAGCTGAAGCCAACGCCGGACACTGCCTTCGCTTGCCATGGTGACACCACCCAGGACGCTGGTACGCTGACACCACGTGATTTGAAGCTGACAGGAGCATTCTCTGATCTCAGCTCCCCTCAGAGCGGACGGGCTGTCCATTGGAGTCACACTGTCCACTTCAGGCTGGTCAATTTTATTATATTTGCTACTTTGTCTCACCCAATAAAGATGCACCTTCACTAAGGTGCTTGTCTGAGAGCATTTTCCACAGCGCCTTTTCTTTCCAGTTCTCTTTCTAACATAAGTGGCTGTCTAGCCCAAGGAGTGGGGAATGGTCTTCCCATTAATATTTCAAAAGGAGATAACCCTGTAGTCTTATTAGGTGTCATTCTTACCTCTGATAGAATTGCAGGTAACATCTTCTTCCACGCTGGTATAGGTTCCTCCAGTGGCCTTCCTCAACTTACCCTTAATTGTCCTGTTCATACTTTCTACTATACCCGAACTTTGAGGATGATAGGGAATATGAAATTTCCAATCTATCTTAAGTACTTTTACCAGGTCTTGGCATACCTTGGCCACAAAGGCTGGTCCATTGTCAGAAATTATCTGCAGCGGATATCCCAATCTGGGTATTATCTCCTGTGTAAGAATTCTGACTACATTCTGCGCGTCTTCTTTATTAGTGGCAAATGCATCCTCCCATCTGCTAAACATATCCACCATTACCAACAAAAACTCTTGCCTCTGTCCTGTTTTTGGCATGTGGGTAAAATCTATTTGTGAATGGGTGAAAGGTGTAGTTGGGTACACTAGATGTTGGTGTTGTGGTTTCTTTGGGTTCTGTGGATTGTTCCTTATACATGTAATGCACCTGAAAACATATTCTTTCACCAACCTAGATAAACCTGTAATGTAAAAATCTTGCAATAATGTTTCACATGTCGTTTTCTATCCTCTATGTCCTAGACCGTGGTACTGTGCAATGAACAATGGGGTGCTTGACATGGGAATGCATGGTTTTCCCTCTAAGCACACTAGACCAGAAGCTGGATCTAGTTGTGCTCCAGAACCATTCCAGTCTGCTAGATCGACTTCTGTAGCAAATTTTTGTAAATCTGCATACATCTGGTCATGTGGTGTGGTTGTGATGCCTGAAATGAGCATAGGCATCTGTTCACTGGCCACCTGTTGTAATGCAGCTTCCTTTGCTACCTTATCTGCTAATGCATTTCCTTTGGCAATATGATCTCTGCAATTTGTATGTGCCCTGCAATGAAGAATGGCTAATGTTTTTGGTAACTGTATGGCTTTGAGTAGGTCAGATATCAAGGAAGAGTGAGATATGGTTTTGCCATCAGCAGCAATGAATCCTCTTCTCTCCCAAATGACCCCAAAAAAATCATGTACAGCACCATGGGCGTACTTGGAGTCTGTGTAAATGTCAACATCCTGTCCTGCAAATAACTGACATGCTCTTGTAAGGGCAATCAGTTCGGCTGCTTGAGCTGATTGATATGGAATTGGCTTTGCCTCGAGTATTTTGTCAGGAAGTTGCACAATGGCATATCCTGCATGGTAAGTATTATCATTTGGCCTAGAGCATGAGCCATCTACAAACACATCTGGGGCCCCATCAAGAGCCACAGCTGACATGTCGGGCCTAGGGGAAGTGTCTTGCTGTATGTGGGTTATACAATTGTGTTCTGGTGCCACTTCATCCTGTTGTCCCTTTAGCCCCAGTAGGGCATTCAAAATTGGAGCAGGGCCTAAATTTGCTAAAGAATATTTAATAATCAAGTTGGGATCAGATAGAAGAATCACTTCATATCCGCTCAACCTTTGTGCCGACATGTGTTGCGTGTGTATGTTTTTCAGTAGTAAGGACACTTGATGTGTGGTGTGTAGGGTAGTTTCATGTCCCAATGTGAAACAAATAGCCATTTCCACCACCATTACGCAGAATGCAAAAACTCTCAGACAAGCAGGCATGCCCTGAACCTGAGATGGCACTACTTTGGAAAAAAAAAGCTACAGGGCGGAGCTTGCCTCTATGTTCCTGAGCCAGGACCCCCGCCATGGTTGTACAATTTTCCCTAGCATACAGATGAAACATTTTCTTATAGTCAGGTAGTCCAAGACCAGGGGCCGTTACCATAGCATTCTTCAGGTACACAAAAGCATCAACCATTTCATTTGACCATATGAGAATGTCAGGTGACTCTGAAAATGTGGCAGACCTCAGAGTGTGATCATAAAATGAACAATCAGGTATCCATTGGCGGCAGTAACCAATCAAACCAAGAAACGTTAACATGTCCTTTTTTGTTTGTGGGCGGGGCAGACCCACGAGAGCCGCAGCTCTTTTGTGACTGACATTCCTCTCACCATGACTTAGAGTAAAACCAAGGTATTCAACCTGTTTTTGGCACCATCTGGCGGTTTCGGAATGTAAATGCAAATAGTGCCCTCGTCTGGTGGTCCACAGGAACAGAAAAAAATGCATTTGTTAAATCAATCACTGTAAAATATTCTGCATCGGATGGAATGGAGGTGAGGAGTGATGGCACATCAGGTACTATTGGGGCTATTGGAACCACCAAATTATTTATGGCCCTCAAATATTGTACAAACCTGTAAGAGCCATCTGGCTTCTTAACAGGATTGATAGGTGTGTTGTAAGGAGAAACAGTTTCTTCTAAAATACCTGTCTCTAAAAATCTTTCCACTAGAGGAGCAATCCCTTCCTCCTTTTTCTGGAATGGGCCTGTGCTTCCCATAGCTTCTGTCCAACCAGCCATACAATCCACCCAGGGATTTATTAAATAGTCTGTCCCACATACTCTGACCACATAATCCTTACAATTGTCTCCCTTTTCTGGGGGACCTGGTGGGTAACTACCTCCTTGACCCATATTTAAACAGTGGATAAGATTATCTTACCTTATAATCTTATTTTGTTCCACACAACAAATTATCCTATACTTCTACACGACAGAAAGAAAAAGCAAAAGACAGATAAACCAGAATCTGCTCCACAGACTTATTAACCTTTTGATAACTTCCCAAAAGTTATCTCTTCACTGTTCTAAAAAAGGACAGTGTGTTCTACCAAAGTGTTCTACCAAAGAACAATCTGTGTTTTACAAAAAAAACTCTTTTTTTATAATGCACTATTTTGTAACTCTACCAAAGAGTTAAGTCTGCTTACCAAAAGCAGCAACAGGTTATCACGAGTCTATATAGACAATACAGAATGATTCAAGACCTTCCCTCAACACAGGGAAAGAAAGAGCTTTTAGTCATAAAAAGACAAAAGGTTTACTTACCAAATGAGGTGGGTGGTCATCCCGGGCCGAGCCCCCAGCTGAAAGTATGATTTTCTTTTTATCCCCTCCGAGACCCCAGGTCTGTGGAGAGATTCCTGGTCTATCAGCAGAATTCTGGGAACACCCTTGAACACGGAAATAACGGCAGCTTAGGTTCAGAGATGTTCAAAGTTTATTAGACATTACTAAGATTATATAGAATACAGAAAAAATAAGGGAGGGGGGAGCGAGTTTTAAAACTGTAACTTGTAAGTTTCCATCATGAGCTAACTACACAAAACATGACATACATTTCTTGGTATAAACTGTTTTTGCTAGCTTTCTGAGAAATAGCCAGACAAAGCTTCAGGGTCGTCTTATCATTGTTATACATTCTGGTGCAAGCTAAAACAGTTTCATTAAACTTCTAATATATCTGCAAAAACCTAACTTAATACTTAAAATGTCGTACCTCAACAAAATGGAGGTTATCTAGATCCTTTCAGTTATGTGATATGCAGTCAGAAAGTAAAAGCTGTGTAAATGCCGGTCTCTATGCCATAGTTTGTAGACCTTTTAACTTTCTTTTTTTACCAAAGACATGTAGCAGAATACATTTTGGCCTAAATTTATGACAAAATTTGATTTTATTGGATATTTTTTATAACAGAAATTATAAAATATCGGGGGAGGGGGGGTTTCAAAACTTTTGGTCTTTTTTTATTCATAGCGCAAAAGAATAAAAAACCCAGAGGTGATCAAATACCACCAAAAGAAAGCTCATTTGTGGAAAAAAAATGACATACATTTAATTTATGTACAGCATTGCATGTGTCAGGAATGGACTTGCCAATAATGGTGGGACTCACCTGCCTTGTGGGCTGCAGTACCAGGGCTGGCCAGCGGGTGCTCTCAGCAATCAGAGACTCACCCCTGCAATCAGCCCAAACACCTGAAGCTGATTGCGGGGGTTGTATTTAAGGAATGGCCAGACTCACAGTCAGGGCCTTGGTGTATGTTTTTCCATGGGCCCCTGTATCTTGTATCCCGTATTCCTGTTCCTGTTCCTGTCTGACTTGTTGCCGACCCTGCCTGATCCTGACCTCTGCTGACTTCTCCTGCTTGATCCCTGGCTTGTGACCCTGACCATTCTCTGCCTGACCCTCTGCACCGCGCTGCCCGTGAGTTACTGAACCCAGCTTGTGATCCCGACCACTCTCAAGCCAGATGACCTGATGCCTGGTGACCCAATGCCCGCTGTCAAGCCAGACAATCCAATGCCTGATGACCCAGTGCCCGCTGTCATGCCTGGTGACCCGATGCTCGCTGTCGTGCCTGATGACCCGATGCCCGCTGTCAAACCAGATGACCCAGTGCCCACTGTTGAGCCAGATGACCCGGTGCCCGCTGTCGAGCAAGACAATCCAATGTCTGATGACCCGGTGCCCGCTGTCGTACCTGGTGACTCGGTGCCCGCGGTCTTGCCAGATGACTCGGTGCCTGCCGCTCCGCCTGGGGGCCCGGTGCCCGCCGCTCTGCCTAAGGGCCCGGTGCCTGCTGCTCCGCCTGGGTGCCCGATGCCTGCGCGCTGGGGGCGGTGCCCGCCTGGGGGCCCGGTGCCTGCCGCCCTGCCTGGTGGCCCGGTGCCTGCCGCTCTGCCTGGTGGCCCGGTGCCTGCCGCTCTGCCTGGTGGCCCGGTGCCTGCCGCTCCGTCTGGTGGCCCGGTGCCTGCCGCTCCGCCTGGTGGCCCGGTGCCTGCCGCCCTGCCTGGTGGCCCGGTGCCTGCCGCCTGCCTGGTGGTGGCCCGGTGCCTGCCGCTCCGCCTGGTGGTCCGGTGCCTGCTGCTCCGCCTGGTGGCCCGGTGCCCCTGCTGCTCCGCCTGGTCAGCCCGGTGTCCAGCCTGATGTGCCTCTGTCCGGTGTCCAGCCCGATGTGCCTCTGTCCGGTGTCCAGCCCGATGTGCCTCTGTCCGGTGTCCAGCCCGATGTGCCTCTGTCCAGTGCCCAGCCCAATGTGCCAGTCTTTGATATCCCGCCAGTTACCGGACCCAGGCGGTGGAACATTTTGCCCAGCTAGGACTGTTTGGAGCGTCCTGAGGCAGCTCCTTGAGGGGGGGGGGGGTACTGTCAGGAATGGACTTGCCAATAATGGTGGGACTCACCTGCCTTGTGGGCTGCAGTACCAGGGCTGGCCAGCGGGTGCTCTCAGCAATCAGAGACTCACCCCTGCAATCAGTCAAACACCTGAAGCTGATTGCGGGGGTTTTATTTAAGGAATGGCCAGACTCACAGTCAGGGCCTTGGTGTATGTTTTTCCATGGGCCCTGTATCTTGTATCCTGTATTCCTATTCCTGTCTGACTTGTTGCTGACCCTGCCTGATCCTGACCTCTGCTGACTTCTCCTGCTTGATCCCTGGCTTGTGACCCTGACCATTCTCTGCCTGACCCTCTGCACCGCGCTGCCCGTGAGTTACTGAACCCAGCTTGTGACCCCGATCACTCTCCCGCCTGTTCCTGGTACTCCGTTTGCCCGTTTTCTACTGACCCGGCCTGCCTGACGACTCTTGCATTGTATGTATTGTTATCTGTGGGTGGTTTGGTTTGTTTGCACTGTGTTTATGTTTAGTTTTGCACTGCGTTTGTATTGTTAGTCTTAATAAATTATATTGTTTATACCATATCTGAAGCCTGCGTTTCCCTGTGTCAGTCCACACACCTCTGGTCATACCTGGAGCCCTGACAGCATGACTGCACAATTTTCAGTTAAATTAGCACAGCCAGTGGTGTATATTGGTTTTGTGCTGCCGTAGACACCCCCCGCATCTAAATTTGCCCCACCTCTTCCTGTTTAAGATCCACCCCTTCATCTGTAAACCCCACCCTTCCTCTTTCTATTAGAGCTCCGCCCACTGACAACGGGGGGGGGGGGCGCTATTCCTCCCACTGACAACAACGGTGGGGCTCTATTCCTCCTACTGACAACAACGATGGGGCACCATTCCTCCCACTGACAACAACGATGGGGCGCCATTCCTCCCACTGACACCAGGGATGGGGCGCCATTCCTCCCACTGACACCAGGGATGGGGTGTTATTCCTCCCACTGACACCAACGATGCGGGCACTATTCCTCCCACTGACACCAATGATGGGGCGTTATTCCTTCCACTGACACCAATGATGGGGCACTATTCCTCCCGCTGACAACAACGGTGGGGCACTATCCTGGTGGTGCCCCATAATTAGTGTCAGTGTGGGAGGAATAGTGCCCATTCATTAGTGTCATTGGGAAGAATAGTGCCCCATCATTAGTGTAATTGGGAGGAATAGTGCCCCATCATTGGTGTCAGTGGGAGGAATAGTGCCACATCATTGGTGTCAGTGGGAGGAATAATGCTTCATCATTGGTGTCAGTGGGAGGAATAGTGCCCCATCATTGGTGTCAGTGGGAGAAAAGTGCCCCCTCATTGGTGTCAGTGACACCAATGATGGGGCACTATTCCTCCCACACTGACACTAATGATGGAGCACTATTCCTCCCACTGACACCAATGATACTTACTTTGCTGACCCCTGCTCCAGCCTGGGATCCCTCCCTCTCCCTTCCACAGCCAGCATACCCAGCTGCAGCAGCACCATCTGCTCTCCCCAGATCCTGGCCACACTTACCTTACCTATCAACCTTTCCTTCTCACTGTGCTCTCCTCTTCACCGGCTCTGGATGGTCTCTCACTCGATCTTCTTTGATCTTTGTGCTGCTGCTCGGCTCCTCCTCTCCAAGCTCCACTTCCTCACAGGTGATTGGCCATCTGTGTGCCTTTCCTGAGCTACAGATCCGGCGGCCAATCACCGGCAAGGAGGTAGAGCTTACAGAGGGACAGGCTTCCATAGGCTGCCCAGTGATCCTGGGGGTGTGGCCAGATGAGAGGGGTGGCATATCATCCCGCCCACATCGCAATCAAGATCCAGGAAGATGAATACACCGGACAGACACTCTCTGCACCCCTCCTCCAGCAGCGCCTCGTGCACCGGATCGAAGTGGGCATGGAGGGACATACACAGGCAAAACACAACAGCCCCTGTCCCTTTCCCACGGAAGTGTCTCTTCTGTGGGAAAGGGGGGACGGTGCCGCCGCCCCCCTGAAAAGTGCCGCCCTAGGCAAACGCCTTGTTTGTCTCGCGGAAAATACACCCCGAGCACAACACCGTATAGCAAAAAATGGCGTAAATTCCAGTATCTATGCCATAGTTTGTAGACGCTATAATTTTCACATAAGTCAATTAATATGCAGTTATTGGAATTTTTTACCAAAGACATGTAGCAAAATACATTCTGGCCTAAATTTATGATGAAATTTGAATTTGTTGGATATTTTTTATAACAGAAATTAGAAAATAATTTTTTTTTCAAAATGTTGTCTTTTTTTGTTTATAGCTCCAAAAAAGCCCAAAGGTGATCAAATACCACATACCAAATACCAAAGAAAGCTCTATTTGTGGGAAGAAAGGACACAAATGGTGTTTGGATACAGCATTGCATGACAGCACAATTACCAGTTGAAACAGCACAGCGCTGAATAACAAAAAAGGCCTGCTCAGGCAAGGGGTAAATCTTCCAGAGGGCAAGTGGTTAAAGTGTTACTAAACCCAGGACCCTCCATTCACTATATCTGGCCACAGTACACAGAACATGGAAGTGGGATTATTTTAGTAAATATAAACTACTAAACACCTTTTCTCATCAGCAGTATATAGTAATGGTTGATGGGGAAGGAATGGAAGCATCAGTGTAATCAGACACATTTCTGATGTTGGAATTAGTGTTCTTGTTTGAAGTAGCTACAGAGGGTGGTAATCTCTCTCCTCATGTACAACTTTCCTTTATATTTACCAAACACCATATAATATGAGATCAAAGCTAAACAACAACTTTAATTTGTATCCAATCAGGCAGACCATTGCACTACATAGTTGAAGGAAAATCTAAAAAAACTGTACAAGAAAATGGTACAATGTAGGGCCAGCCTAAGCTTTATGGGCATAGCAAAGTGACTCACTGAAGACCTGTGGCTTATCATTGATGAAATAACTCAATTAATTTATCATGTATTAAATGCTGTAAATTTGAAGGGGAAAGCAAAGCATTGTTTAGTCTTTAGAGATACAGCTTTCATTTTTAGTAACAGGAGAGGAAGTATCAGTTTGGAGATTTTGTGGTCTGACCAAATGCAGGGATCAATATGGAAATCTGACAGGCTAGTACTCAACAAGGAACTTAGAAGGGAATAATCAATCCATGAGGAAGAATTAGGCACTGAAGAATGGAAAGTATAAGACTGAGCTTGCAAATGTACCTGCCTCCAGCAGTTATCTGAGTCCACCAATCTCAATTGTTGCCTTATTGAGGGCCATGGATCTTTGAATAAATTCTGGTGTTGAGGAAGAGTCCAGTCCAGGTTTGGGTGCATTAAAAAAATAAAAATCCCCTGACCGCCACTAAAAGTTTTTGATTCTGTTATTTCTCTAGTTGAGAAAGAACATTAGTTAAAACAACTTAGTATTAGGCAAGTATTAATTTATCCATACAACTGGAAGATCCCAGAGGGCCTTCAAGAAGTAAAAATGTACTATCGGAGTCCCTCACCACCTCTGTAATTTATATGATAGAGTATTCCTAGGGAGTAGAGATGAGTTGAGCATTTGATCTGAACCCAAGTTCACACCAAACTTCGGCTCTTTGGAGATTTGGTGGGAACTGATCTGCTGAACATACCATAGTTCATTGCAAACAACTGTCATTGGCCTGCCATTGACCTGGTCAGGTGGAAGACTTTGGCTAATGATGGTTTTGTCTAAAATTGCAGCCTACATACTATACAAGGCTGCAAAACCCAGCAGCCCTTTGTCAGTGTGTGGGAGTTTAGTGTGAGGGACAGCTGACAGTATTGCAGTGAGAGGGAGTTGGCTGTGCACTTTGGAGAATGGAATAGAAACCCACCTCTTCGTGTCAGCAACAAATTCTATTGCTGTGGTGCTGCTGTTCACCCTTTTTTATTTTTTTTGGGAGTGCTTGTTTTTATTCCCTTTATTTGTATTTTACATTTCTTTTTTTTTCTGCATTAAAAAAGAGTTTAGTGCTTGTAGTGTTTTAGGGGCTGCAGTTTTTTTTTTTCTTTTACTTTAGTTTACTTTTTACATCTTTTGTCTTACAGCTCTATTATATTTATGTTTAATTTTGCTAGGGTCTTTTATGGGGCAGCAGCAAAGCTTCCTGTTGTATCCAGCGGAGCACCACATATTGTTATGGTGCAGAATGCAGATTAGTCCTCAAATGTACCAGCTTCCAGTGCACTTAATCACCACATCCTCACATGCTGTAGATCTCTTGCCATAGCTGCTAATTAAAGAAGGGAATAAGCCCGATGTTTACAAAATCATGTGGTTGGGTGCCCATAGGGTGAGGCAGAAGTATCTTCTGTACAACTATAAATCAGACTATTAA